CTTCCTTCCTTTTTCTTTTTGCATGTGGAAAAGCACCTGCAATGAAGAGAGCAGGGCTTGATGTCTTCTCTCTGGCATGCTAACTTTTTGCAGTGTTAGCTTTTTACAAGCTCTGGAACTAAAACTGGGTCAGGGGAGTATTTGAAGTTCAGAGGATGGAGAACTTAATGGGGAGATTCTTCGCCTTTGGCCTGTGTGGACTCAGGCTGCCTGGCGCCACGGCAAAAGAGGGAGAAGTGCTGGTAATTATGAGCAGATCATCAGATTTAACTTAAGTTTTAATTAAAGTCATTTATTTACTATTACATATATATCCTACATTTTTTCTTATAAACTCTGTGAAGTAGGTTGGACTGAGAGTCTGTAACTGACCCGAAGTTGCTCCATGGCCAAGCCGAGACTAGAGCCCGGGTTGCCCGAGTCCCAGGCTCGTCCTCTTAACCACTATGCTGCCCTGGCGCTCTATCTATCTACCTATCCATCGAGGGAGGAAGGGAATGGGGGGGGGGGGGAATGCACACGCTCCCCTGTTGTTCTCTTGATGTAACCTGCGCTGCCAAGGAACTTCTCAATGGCACTGTATTACCTTTAAGTGGCACCCGGTAGCTCTGATCCTGCCACCTGCACACTTGCAGTCCAAGCCCGCGTGGGGCTCTTCAGACGCAAGTCCCACTGAGTCTAATGGCTCACTTCTAGGTGAGCTGGGCTGCCGCTGTGTTCCTTCACGCACTGAACACTGAGCTCTGGTTTTACTTATGCCTGAAATTGGCCAGAAACGAGCTCCTTCGTTCATTACAAGGAGAAGCACCAGGCTGGGTCAAAAAGTTTCTTTAACCAATGGAAAATGATAAGACTGCAGCTGAGAAGTTGATGCATTGGGGTGGCTCTTGGGAGGGAATGCTGGTGTGCTCAGGGAATGCCGGTGTGTATGTTTAAGAAGCTCTGGCACAAATAGTGTGAGTTTGCACAACATGACAAGCAGCAGGCTTCCCCCACCCGCCCACATCCGACCTGTCATGTATGGCGATGGAGCCAATGACCCAGGGAGGCAGGGGGGCGCCCCCACCCTGGAGGCATCCAAGAGGCAGCTGGGCAGTCCCCTGAGAGGGGCGGTTCAACTTGTGCTCCTGCACTGAGCCGGAAGTTGGACCCAATGGCCTTTAGGTCAATTCCAGCTCCGCTGTTCTATGACTGAATAAATCTGTGTCATCTGAACCCTATGGTGGCATTTCAGCATGGTGCATTTGGGTTTGAGAAGCACAATAAGACATACTGCTCTGCTTAAGGTTGTCTTAGCAACAGAAGTGCTTGTAGTGCTGTCCAAACAAGAAAATGCAGCTCTTTGTGGTACTGAGGCCAGAAGCACAAAGCCGCTGGCGAGAGCCCAGGGCTCTCCAGAGCCTGCCTGGTGGCTGACCAGAGAGTGCCACTGGCAGCTGCCGCTTGGCACAACGGCCGGACGCAACCCTCTTCTCCTGCCTCAGGCCTAGAGATCTTCTCTGGGACAGGAGCAGGTGGCTAGCTGCCTGGTGCTGGGAGAAGAGCTGCACTGGTCCGTTGACTCCTCTGGCACCAGGTGGTGGAGCCTCCTTGGAAGCGCCACACACCCACAGATCCCCCCGCCCCTCCTGCATGCTCCCCAGAAAAGCTGCGCAGGCACAGGGCTGAGCCCGCAGCAAGGGTGCGAACCGCTGGGTGGTCACGGTGGCTGGTGGGTCCCCTGCAGCCCGGCGGACGTCCCTGTGCCGCGCCTCTTTCTGGGCAGAGGAAAGCTGTTACAGGGCGACTTGGATGAATCTCGCATGCAGTGTGGCATGCGGATCTCCCTGGGCATCCTGCCTGAAGAAAAAAGAGAATATCCCCAGGGATTGCTTGCTGCCATACATGGCACAGCGTAACTCCCTGCTCATGAGCAAAGATTAGCTGGATTCTTCCCCTCTGGAGCAGACAGCCGACTTCCATGCAGCCATGAGAGCTCTGAAGCTGTGGAACTGGCAAGCGGGTGGGCACGGCTTGGGCATGCGCCCTGTTTGCGAAGCAGAGGCGGCGTGGCAGCTGTGCCAGACTGGACTTGTCTCAGGAGCGCGGCTGCCAAAGCAGGCAGCCTTGTCTCTCCCTGTGGCACCTCCTGGCAGGGATCCAGCAGGACTGAGAGGGAAGGCCGTGGGTCCTCAACTAAGGCCCGGGGGCCGGATCCGGCCCGCCGTGCCCATTTGGACCTGCCGCGCCCACACCCATGCATGCGCCCACCACCACCCACCTCGCCCCGTGCACAGGGAGGCAGCGGTTTGCTCGCTCGGAGAAAACGCTCTCCAAGCAAGCAAGCTGCTGCCTCGTGCCCCCGCCTCCCCTCCCCTCGCCACGCGCCCCGCCCCCACCGCAGTGCACGCGCCTGTGCGCACCGCCGGCACCACCTTCGCGGCCCGCGGCTACACCAGCACCTTTCAACTGGCCCCCTGCTGGAAAAGTTTGAGGACCCTGGGGAAGGCAGTGGACGGGAGGAGAGCTGCCGGCACGAGTGTGATCGGCTGCCAGGTGGATCCATGCACAACACCAGGCATGGTGGAAGCGGCAAAGGGTCGCTTGCCAGGATGTGTGAGCCTGGCCTGCACCTTCCCCTGCAGGGGATCACCTGTGAAGTTCCCCCTTCCTGGCTTTTCTGAATAGGCTTCTGGCCCTTTAGAGCTGGCACAGATGCATCATTAGAAACCACAGCAGAAGGCATTTTAAAATTAGTAGCCTGATTTTCACTAGAACGGCAGCGCAGAGCAGGAGGCAGCCTGGTCTCTCCTGCCATCCCAAGGGGAGCCTCCGTCCCTTCGCCTGCCCACACGGCCACGAGCTCGTGAGGCGAGCGCCCGTCCATCAGCCCGGGGAGGATGAAGGCTTCTCCCAACACACACCATGTGCTGCCGTCCCAGCTTAAACCAGCCATCCCACTTTCCTTGCTCCCGTTTTAAAAAATGTTTTATTGATATGCGTACTGTCACTCACTGGCATTTTTTCCCCTGAAAGGGAAACCATTTGTTTCTAGGAAATGAGCAGAGACTCCATCTGTTGGCTGCCACTTGGTGCCATCTCAGTGCTGAACATGCTATAAATGAATGTTTGAGAATGGGGAGCTGAATTTGCTCGTGCAAGAGTGGTCAGGGGAACCACCTGGAACAGGGAGGACAGCTGGAGCCAGGAGAGGGCCCTGCAGCACGGCACTTTCCCTGCATCCTGCCCCCAGCCGTCGCCCACCCTGCAGCCGCTGCTGTGCCATAGGAAGCCACACTCCTCTGGACAAGGGCCACCAGGCACCGAGGCGGCTCCTCCGTGCCAAGAACAGCAGGCAGGCGAGAAAGGAAAGCGCTGCTGGTGCCCCCTGTCTTTTCATGTAATGTTGCCAGCAGTGTGAAGCCAACACACTGAAGCCACGTTTAACTAACCTCAGGTCTCATGAAATACTCAAATGGTCCCTTGCAAAGGTATGTACCCAGTTTCCCCGAAAAAAAGACCTAACCAGAAAAGAAGCCCTGTCGTGATTTTTCAGGATGCTCGCAATAGAAGCCCTACCCCCAGAACAAGTCCCAGTGAAGATCATCAGCCGGATGGATGCCTTTCGTACGTCCGTTGCTACACAATTCGGGGTTTGGAGAGTTAGACGATGTTCCAGAAGAAGCTGACATGACTGTATTTGAATAAATGTAGATTTTTGTACATGAATAGATGAATAAATGTAGATCGTTGTACATGAAAAAGACATCGCCTGAAAATAAGCCCTAATGTGTCTTTTGGAGCAAAAATTAACATAAGACCTGGTCTTATTTTCGGGGAAACATGGTATGAGGTGCAGATTTTGCATAGCTGCCAGCAGAGCAAAGGGTTCGTGGCAAGGAGCCCTCCCCGCGCGCACCTGGAACTTTCCTGTGCTCCTTGAATCGGGCAAAGGGCCCCATGCAGTCACTGTGCCCAGGCCAGTTTGGACCCTGTGAGCGCCGCCATGCACTGCTGGTGTTGCTGCCCCATTTTCCGCTACAACGGGAGATGAGACAGTGTGGCACAGTGGTGAGAGTGCTGGACCGGCTCTCCGGGTGCTACTCCCCTCTTGGCCATGGCACTCACGGGGTGACTTTGAGTCAGGCACAGACTTTCAGCCTGGCCTACCTCGCAGGGCCCTTGCAAGGAAAAGGATTGCCAGGAGGAGAGGCTTAGTCATTTATTCACAATTTGTATAACCAGCTCAATTAGCCTAATTGGCTCTCCATTATGTAAGTTGCCTTGAGTTCCTTGGAAGGAAAAAAGGCAGGATATAAATATAATGCATACATTACATATACATACATACATACATACATACATACATATAAACACTAATGCAGAGCTATTCCTGGCACCTCATCTCTAGAGAGAAAAGTGTCTTATTCAGAGACTCATTATTCACGCATAAATGCATCCCTTGAGGCACACAATGCTCCTGAGCCATCTTCTGTTTGAGGGATGCCTCCTTTTCCATCGCATGAAGTAGCTTTCCCCATCTGGGTGCCCTGCAGATGTGTGCTACTACAATTCCTATCATGTTGGCTCCTATCGTATCAGTTAATCTGTCTTTTTGTCTCTGATCATAGCAGCAAATGTCAATTTCTCCTTCCAGCAAACAACGCGTTTGTAAGATGCCTTAATCAAGAATGGATGTTGATAAAAGGGCGCGTATGTGGAGGAGGGTCTGCCTCAGGCTCCACCACCAGGCGGGTGCCGCGCAGAGCTAATGCACCTTTCCTGGTGAGGTCGCAGCTGCAGCCCCCCAGAATTTCCCCACTGAGTCATGCGCAGCAGCCTCTGCTGGCAGAGAACCAGGTGCCTGCTTGCCTTTCTGCTCCCAGCGTGCGGAGTTTCAGGCGAAGGGGTGGCATCGTTCTTGTCATCGGGCCGGAATGCATCACAGGCTGCAGCCGCCCAATCGGAGCGCAAGCTGAGCATTTATATAGACTCATTTCCTCTGCACAACCCGCAGAAAGCGAGCAGTGCTCAGCCTACGAAAGGACCGACGGGGGAAGCCCTGTGCGGAGGTGACTGCAATTGCACAGAACACGGTGCAGGCTTTGCCTGTCATTCGGCTGGTAAGTGCACCACCTTTCAATCTTAGGCACATGAAATGCCAGCTCGGCCATGGGCGATGCTTTTGGAGAGCCTGGCTGGATGATGGCAGCCCTGGAGGGCTCAGGGGCTCGCTGCTCTTTCCACTCATCTCAGACCCATAACGAGCCCCTCGCAGGAGGTTTGCACTGATGTTTGGGGCAGCCTTGTGGGATCCAGACTGAGTTTTATGAACACACAGCCCACCCTTTGGGGGATTTAAGGCAAGGAACAAGCCATAATTGCATTCGTGTGCTGTAAAACAGTAGAGACTGAAGGAAGATACATGGAGAAGAAGTCTAAATATGTGTGTGCTTGTCCAAATTCAGTTACGACAGTGCACAATAGGCTGTGGTGTTGGTGTATTTGTTATACTGTTTTTCTGTTGTAAAACATTCTATTTAGAGCCTACTCTGATTTTGACGCCGACAGAGGCCAGGAGCAATATTAGCTTGCAGGGAAAGTGCAAATGTTTGCAGGTTTTTAAAAGTTTAAACAAACAGCTAAGCCATTTTCCTTCTATTAATAGCTAAATACAATCTCAGTGGATTTACAGGTCCAGACTGGTTGCCACTGTTCGTTGCTTTAGGCTGCTTTGTTTTACATTGTCTCTAATTACAAGCAGAATTCTTTTGGGATGGGACATTCCTCTCTATTGCTGCCAACTCTTGAACCTCAACTGGGCGCGAAAGACACAGAAGTGGGTTTTCCCTTTGCATTTTGCACCTTGTGCCTCTCCGTGATCATCCGGTGGGGTCCACTTCGGGGGCCAAGTGCTCTGTTGCCAAGGCACCGGTACAGTAGCAACCAAACCAGTGCTGATCGTAGGTTAAAAGCCTGCCTCTTAAATTCCACTGCTTTTTCTTAGCTGAGAGAGGAGGCGCTCCACTCTGGCCTCCCACTCGGAAGGGCTTGGTCACCGCCTGGTGCATGGACTGGGCTCCGCGTGCAGCGTCCCGCCAACCGCAGCCGTCTGCCCCTGCACAGGCCAGGCCGGGGCACATTCAGAGAGGTGCCAGTGCAGCGGTGCTGGTGGTGCAGCAGAGCCGTTGAACAGCGAGGGAGAGAAGACTGCAGTGAAAGCTGCTGGAAGTCCACCCCGACCCTCCCTGTGCACGTGGCCAGCCGCACGAGGGCCCTCACGGCCCTGCCGCCCTGCTTGTACTGTGGGGGCCTCAGCGGGTAGATGGATGACCTGGCCAGGAGAAGGGCTGCACCAGCCGCAGCTGCCCCCAGATGTGCCCCCACGACTGGCTGGCTGCCACCTGGCCAGAGTGTGCCTCCTAGCCAGGAATGAAGTCAACATACCTATGCAGAGGAGCGCACACACACACACACACACACACACACACACATTTACAGATGATTTGCAAATGCAGCTAAGCAATGAGATGAGGCAGCAGAGTTCGTATGTGGATGAACAGTGGGTGTTGCTTGATTCACTGCCGTTTGGGGTGGGTGTTCCGCCTCTGGTTTTTGCACATGGGCAGGGTGGGGAAATGAATGTTCTGCGGAGCTCTGGATAGACTGTGCAGACTTTGCTCCAGCCTCTTAGTGGAAAAGTGCTTCCCAGGTGAGGGTCCTGGTGGATTTCCAGCCCTTCTCCATGTTGACTGGTGGAAGCCAGTGCAGGGTGCTCTAGGGTAGACGGCCAGCTCAGGGATCAGTTGGACAAGAAGCCAGAGCTGTGGTGTGTTTCGCTAAGTGAGCTAAAGTCAGCCTGGTGAAGGCAGAGGGAAAGATGATACCAACATTTGTATTAACACCCCTAGAAAGACTACCAGCTACTTGAAGCTTAGGAATGCAAAAGAGGACCGAAGCGGCTGAGAAGCAGCTGCCTATGCCGCCAGAGCAGGACTTGGCCCTGTGAGACTTTGGACACAGAATAACAGGCTCAGATTACAGGAAGCCAGATTCCAGCTGGACATCAGGAAGAACTTCCTGACTGTTAGGGCAGTATAGCGAATGATTTAGGGCAGGGGTCGGCAACCTTTAACACTCAAAGAGCCATTTGGACCCATTTCCCACAGAAAAGAAAACACCGGGAGCCGCAAAACTCTTTGACATCTAAAATGAAGATAGCACTGCATGTATTGTTTTTTACCTTAATGCTATGTATATCTTCATTATGATGTAGCTGCAGCTCTTGTTCAGTCACTAAAAACTGTTATTTTTAATCTTACATTATAAACTAGTAGGACTCCTTTCATATAGTTTGAATAGGAGAACAGCTTCCTGCAGAGTCAAAGTCAGTGCTAAAGGGCTGCATGCATTAAACAGCAAACCCCATAACTTCGTCAGCAGTAAAAGCAAATGAATCTACCCATGTACCATCAAACGTTCGGTTTTCTTCAGAAAATTTTCTTTTCTTGAATTTATCCATGGTTGGATGGGAGGGGAAAGTTCAGTAAATTGGGCAGGCAGGTCGCAGATATAGGTGTGTTTACTGACTGATTAGCAGATAAACAGTCAAGTGCTGTGAATTGTGACAGGTCCCAAGCGCAGCTTTTAACATTCAGAGGAAGGAGATGACATTGGGACAAAGAGAATCTTTTCAGCAGGGCTTGAGTAGCATGAGAGCCTGCAGGAAGCTTGTTCCACTCTTTCCCTCCGCAATAGAAGGAATGTAGCGATTTACTTAACTAGCTGATTTACCTAACTAGCTAGCGCTGCCTTCCTGAGTGGAGCTTGGAGCAGATCGGCGGCTGTGCCGGCGCCTGTTTTGAGGGACGGAGCTGCAGCCGAGGGGTTCGAGAGCCACGTGTGGCTCCGGAGCTGCAGGTTGCCGACCCCTGGTCCAGGGAGCTACTGGGCTCTCCCACACCGAGTGGTTCAAGACAGCCCTCTGTCAGGGATGCTTAACTTGGAGACCTGCATTGAGCAGGGGGTTGGATCCAATGGCCTTATAGGCCCCTTCCAGCTCTGCTGTTCTAGGAGTCTAAGAATCTAGGAATTATTTTAGAAAATTAAAAGTTACTTAATGTAGACACCATTACCCTTAGTATATGCACATTTATTTTATACTATTATAATCTCTGATCAAACTGCTTTTGTAGGTTTTTTAAATATTACAGAAACCTACAAAACCTGTTTATTGTGGAAACTATCATGGCGACAATGCTTTCAACTTTCTGGAAAAACTAAATGATTGCCTTCAGTCCTCAAACTATGGCCCATGGGACGGATCCGGCCCACCATGGCCATCCATCCAGCCCATGCCGCCATTCACCGCCTTCGTGCTCGCTTGCTGCGCAGGCGGGGAGGTGATGGCTCGCTCGCTCAGAGATGGTCTCCGAGCGAGCAAGCTTCCGCCACCGCCTGCCTCTCATACGCACGCGCTCGCCACCACCTCATAGTGTGGGCGGGGAGGTGGTGGCTCCCTCGCTCAGGGATGGTTTTGGACTCGCTGGGAGATCTCCAAGCAAGCGAGCAAGCCACCACCCGCACACCCGATGCTGCCTCGCGCGCGCCCGACAGCACCTCACCGGCCCGTGTCCTCAGGCACCCCCACCTCACCAGCCCGCAACGGTCACTGCAGCCTTTCAACTGGCCCCCTATTCAAAAGGTTTGAGGACTCCTGCTATCGTTCATTCCCATCCTAACAGAGCCTTGTGGTTTGATCACCAGATGTATCATCTGTTGGGAGAGAAGACAGAACAAGGGTTTGAGGAAGGTCAGGACCTGACTTTAACTGCTGGGACTTTAGATGGGCTCCCATGACAAGCCTCATTTCTGTCGGAGCTCAGAATGGACAAAGAAAAGCGGCCTAGCCCATCAGCCTGCCAGCTCTCCCCGCCACTACTCACAAACCTATGCACATTATTGTTGTTGTTAGTCGCAAAGTCGTGTCCGACCCATTGCGACCCCATTTATACACATACTGCAAGAATATTCAGATTTTGCTCCAATCCTTGCCCCATCTTATAATCCCACTTTATTTATTTATTTCTTGTTTACAGAAAGCAGCAAAAAAGAAGAACCAGAGAAGTGGGCCAGACAGTCGAAAATAGGAACTTATTACCCAACACAATGAAGTCGTTCATCATCGTCTCTGTAATGCTGAATGTCCTTGTCACAGACATATCGGTAAGTTTTGTAACTAGCAGGAACTGCAACTGCAACTGCCTGTGCTTATTTCCATTTTTGAGCATTTCCCGTGCCACGAAAGACACTTAGCATATGTAATAACCAGCCAAATCATTTACAGATTTATTTTAAAGCAACATGTGAACTTAAGCACTCGCTCTCTCTACGCCTTCTGGTCGTGGGTGCCTCTTCTTGCCCTTTTCCCATCACATCTCAGTTGCCTTTCCAGCCCCATCTTTTTTTACCCCCTTTGGCTTTCTTCTATCCCTGCCAGTTGCTCTGGACCCCTTCCTGTTCTCACCTGGTGCTCCAAGTCCTACTCCAATTCCAATTACCTTTCCAGTCGTTGGGCAGTTTTCTGGCTTTTGTGCCGTTCCTGTCCACCCGTGGTGGAAATCTGAAATGTCTCTCCTAAAGCTTAGTGACTGGCCGTAAAGTTACAATCCACTGATAGTTTTACTTCCATCCCTTTGGGCCTTGGTTCCACTCGCCTCTCCCACAGGGCTCCTAGTAGCTTCTCTGAGGCTGAACTGGGCCCTCCGCTTTAGAGAAATCAAGGTTCAAATTCTGGCCAAGGTTCAAATTCTGGCCTGGAGCATTTGGATAGTGGCAGCTTGGACCTGCTTGCCAATCAGCTATTATCGGAACCTGGATAATGGATGCTGTAGTACTCTGAAGAGCGTTTGTTCATTGGTGGATTTGCTACTGCTGCTTCGGCCTTAAGGCATAGCAAAGCAGAGCCCATCAAGCATCCTGGGCCATCAACCTCAGTTTTCCTAACAGATGGAAATAGTGACTGAGTTCATATATCAAGAGGCCAATCACAAGAAGCTGTTTAGGAACTGCTGTGCACAAATATCCCCTTTACATAATTTCCTGAAAGTAGCAAATCTGTTTTGTCTCTTTCTCAGGCTCGCCATTGGCAGAGGCAGTATGAACCAGCAAGCAAAGCTAAATACGGACATCAAGGTAAATATACCTTTGTGGCTTAAATTTTTGTATGAAAACTGTTTGCTAAAGGGCCAAATGATTTGTTGCACACTTGTAACAAAATGCTGAAGGTCCCTTTGTCGAAGGAAAAGCAGCTCTGAGAACAAATGGGCCAAAGTGATGCTAGTGAGCCGGTCAGAGTTTGTCGTAAGCATTTGGGGGCATGTGAGGTTTAGCTCATGGCTCTTACTTGTGTTTTAATAACACTGTGTTTTATTATTGTTTTAATCAGATTTACTTTATGAATTTAAACTACCTTATTTACCATTTTTCTTGGCAGAAGGCCGTGTACAATTCAAACAATTAAACAAAAAGTTGTGCATGGTCATATAACAACTATCATACAGTATTATGTTTCTTTTACTGTAATTTACAGGTTGTAACTGTATGAATGGAGGAACATGCATCTCCTACTACCTGTTTTCTGGAATTAAACGCTGCTTATGCCCGGAAAGATATAGCGGAGATCACTGTGAAATAGGTACAATACTTCATGACGTTTCCATTTCGTACAGGAATCAACAGCCCCTCTTCTCTGCTCCCTTCCTTGAAACACAAGCCCTTCCCTTCGTCTGTCCCACAGACACACGGAAGCGCAGAATCCTGCAACCCCACAAAAAACGTTGTGGCTAAGATTTCAATGCTATGAAGTGAGGGAAAAGAGCAGTCCCAGAGTTCCTTGTATTGAATCGACCTTTCCTATACACAGGCAGGAGTGAAGGCAGCCTGAGTGCCCAGGACACTGGGAGCCGGGGCTGGGCAGAGAACTGGCTCACCGCAGAACATGTGTAGGCAAGGGGGTCAGGCCTCTTGATTGCCAGAGGGCTTTTTTAAAGGTCTTTTTTAAAAGGTTAAAGGGTTTTTTTAATCACCAGGAAGATTATAAAAAATAGATAAAATAGTGGTAGAAAAAAATTAAAGCATAGTTAAAACAGGTGAGTTTATCTCTTCTGCCACCACTAACTTTGATGTGCTAGGGTGTTGCCACTTCTTAAACAATATTATTTCATTTCTATATCTCCCAAAGGCTGAAGTTCTCTGTAGTGTAATGTAGGAATGAGTTGTCACCATTGACATAAGTGGCTGGATAAGTTAAGCATGACCATCTATACTGGTGTGTTCTATATTACCATGTTCTATATTAAATATTTAATCAAATCATAGAATGGTAGAGTTCTCGGGGTTCTAGAAGGCCACTGAGTCCAACTCTCCACTCAGTGCAGGACTGCAAGTTGAGGCATGCCTGGCAGATGGCTCTTGAATGACTCCTGAAGCCCCCACCTCCCTGCGTGACGAGCGCCACTGCTGAACTGCCCCAACACTCAGGAACTGTAACTGAGGCCCTTTATTCAAGGCTCTGCAATCTGCGGTGATGGAGAGGAGAACCTGGACCTCATCTGAGCGAAAGCCTTTCAGATATTTGAAAAGTGCTATCACATCTCCTTCCACCTTCTCTTCTCAAGGCTAAACATGCCCGGCTCTTTTCGTTTCTCCTCAGGCATTTGTTTCAAGGCCCCTGATAATCCTTGTTGCCCTCCTCTGAGCTTTTTCCAGTTCGTCTGCATGTTTTTTGAAGTATGGTTCCTGGAACTGGACACAGTACTCAAGACAGGGCCTAATTAGTGCCAAATAGAGAGGAATAAGGACCTCATATGATTCAGAAGTTCCTCATATGATTTCTATAAATGCAGCCCAATATAGCATTAGCTTTTTTTTGTAACCACATCACACTGTGGACCCATTCAACCTGCGATCTATGACAATGCCAAGATATTCTCACTTGCAGCACTGTTGAATCAAGTATCTCGCATTTCTTAACTGCATTTCTAGAACCTGGCATTTATCCATATTGAAGGTTTGTTGCTTTGAACCCAGCGCTCCAGCTTATCACGATCACTTTGGATTGTGCTTCTGTCCTCCAGGGTATTAGCTATCCCTCCCAATGTTGTGTCATTTGCAAATTTGATCAGCATTCCCTGCACCTCTTCATTAATAAACATGCTGAAGAGCACTAGATCCAGGCCTGAGTCCTGTGGGACCCCCTCCCCCCTTGTTACCTCTCCCCTGAGAAGGTGCCATTGAGAGGCACTCCGAATCGGAGTCTGTCACCTGCTGTGGATCCACCTGAGAGTGGTTCCTTCTAGCCCACTTTTTGCCAGTTTGCTGATCAGAATGTCATGGGCCACTTTTTTGAAAGCTCTGCTGAAATCAAGATATATTATGTCGATAGTGTTCCCACAGTCCACAAAGGAGGTTGCCTGATAATTTGGTTGTAAGCCACCTGGAAGTTAGAACAGTGGCAGTGGACGATCTGGCATGGGCAGCAACCCATTCTCAGTGGTCAGTGAGCACTGGCAAACATTCTGCCTTGCCTCGCCTTCAGATGCCGAAAGTCGCTGCTATACAAGCAATGGGAAAGACTACAGGGGAACCGCATCGGAGAGCGAGAGCCAGGAGCGGTGCGTGGCGTGGGACTCCCCCCTGCTGCAGAGATGGCCCTTCAACGAGGGCGTAGCAGGCGCCGTGGAACTGGGGCTGGGCAAGCACAACTACTGCAGGTAACCAAGCCGCTGCAAAGCTGGCGATGGGGGTGCAGCCGCGTCACACCTGGCATTTCCCCGCCCCATAGCTCTATTGCCAGCACTCTCCAGGAATGCCAGACACGAAACAGACTGTAACGAAACAGTGAGCCTTCCAGGCCGAGATAATTTATCCTCACCAGAACAGCCAGGGCCGCCCTCTCGCCTGGACTGTGGGGAATTGTCACTGAGCAGGCTAGCCCCAGTTCCAGCTCCAGCATTCTATGATTATTGTGTTCTGTGAGGCTGGGGCTCTGCGGGAGCCTTTAGTAAGCCTTAAGTTGGCGCAAGGAGCTTGCGCTAACCTCCACAGGCAGTTTCTGGTATTACGTGAGGATCAGTATTCCCCAGAGCACTGTTCTGCTGTTTTCCAGAAATCCAGATGGCAGATCTAAGCCTTGGTGTTACGTTAGGAGGGCCTATCGGACTTCTTCAGCACCTTGCAATATACCAGAGTGTAAAAAAGGTAAGTTGTTCTTCAGAGTACCAGCACCTAGGTAGGTTCAGGGAGACAGTAGTTCCAAAATGTTCCCTAGCAGGGCAACTTTACTCATTTGGTTCACAGCCTCTTGATTATCCAGAAAGCTTCTGCTTTCTTTAGCCTGCAGGTCTTTTTTCCTGGGAACAGTAAGCCAGTCAGATTTTGCTGTGATATTATTGCTAAGGGAAGACAGAGCCTGTTCAGAGGATAATCTTTGAAGGTGCAGCAAAAGTGCTTGTAGGAAGCACTTTCCTATTTTTACTCAGCCATAAATTTAATCAGTACTAAAGTCCTATACAACAGAGAAAAACAAAAACCTTTTAAGAATCAGGCTGAGCAGCAAACCTGAGAATTGAGTGAAGACAAGTATAATGATGAAGAAATTGTGTGTATTTAGAGATGTTTCATACTTCTCCTAGAGGTACAGCTAATTGTTACAATTCTCAACGTGAGCAAAAATGTGAAAGGAATTACACGTACAAGGTTCTTGTGGACGTGGTGGATTTTATTTGCTATCACAGCCTGGATAGTTTTGGTGCTCTGTGATGTCCAGTGTGTGGGAAGGAGGCCACTTATGAAAAGCATGCTGGGTCCTGTAATCTCGGACAGGCTCAGACATGTATGGAAAGCACAGTTGGGTGTGTGAGTGAAGCAGGATTGTGGTGGGAACAGGGATCTGGGCCCAGGGGAATGCCCCCTGGACTGCTGCATTGCAAGCTGCAATTAGGGGGCTGCATTATGACATTCCTTCTGATTTAAAAAAGAGTGGATGCCACCCACACTCGCTCCAGCTGAAAATAGACCCCACCGCTTTTCTCCAAACGCACGGAATGCAGAAAACCCTTTTTCGTTAGACTCATTTGGGCAGCCCCCAGACCTGGATACTCATGAAGCAGGCTTGTGAATACTTGCTCGCTAACTTGAGCCTTCCTTTCACTCCAACTTACCTGGTGGCGGCAGCAGCAAGGGAATAACAATCACTCCTACGCTGTGGCTAGAATGGCAATGCTGCTGCGTCCCAGGCACAAAGGGCCCTTGGAAAAGTGGCTCTGCGAGGACATCGGATGCCTGAGAATCCACGGGGGGCTTTTGACTGAGCAGGTTCAAAAGGAGCAGGAGGAGTCCAGGGCTGCAATGTTGCCAGAGCAGCTGTCGCTCCTACTGGATGCCCTGGAGAATTGTCTCCCTCTCCCTGGGATCCATTCTGGCCCGCTTTGGCTCGGAAGCTCACTTTGCCACTGGGGCGGTAAAGACGGCTTGATTCATGATGGAATCATAGGACAGTGGAGCGGGAAGGGTCACGTTACGAGGCCATCGCGTCCGGCCCCCTGCTTAGGGCAGGAGTCCAAGTTGAAGCATTCCTGACGGATGGTTGCCCAACAGCCTCTTGAGTGCTGCTGGTGCGGGAGAGCCCATCGCCTCCCGAGGAATCGAGCAAAGCGAGTTGGAAACAGGCAAATTCTGGCTGGGGATTAATGTTGACAACATAGCCAGGCAAAAATGTGCTGCCAATGGAAAATTCACAGATCAGGTAGAGGGGCCCTAGCTTAATCTCTTCCCCAAGGTGTGTGTTTGGGCAGCCCCAAGAGAACCTGTATGGGGTCAGCCAAAACGTGCAGCAGGATCCCACTGCCACCGAGATCTCAGGGAAGAGCCAAACGGTGTGTTGTCTGGTGCGTTCTTTGGACCAGCACGTCCTTGAGGGCCTTCCTCCCTTCCTTTCTTTTGCAGAATCCACATGTGGTCAGAGGAGCTTTAGCAAGACCTTTAAGATAGTTGGTGGGCACCAGGCAAGCATCGACTCTCAGCCCTGGGTGGCGGCCATCTTCCAGTCGAGCAGGCCGGGAACGCCAAGTCAGTTTATTTGTGGCGGCAGCCTCATAGATCCGTGCTGGATTCTCACAGCAGCACACTGCTTCCCTAAAGAGTAAGCACGACCTTTTTCCTTCTCTGCTTCTGATTTGTTCTTTTTCTAGCTTGATGTCCTTTGGTCAACTCCAGCGATGTAAAAACATCAGTACAAAGTGAGGTTCATGTGCTTTTGAAACAAGCATTTTTAGAGAAATACAGGCTAACAGTTTTATAACAAAACCATCAACACACATAACCTGTTCTACCTTATTTACCATAGATTCTATACATATTTAAGAACTGTTGTCCCTGAACATACATCTGCATACATTTTAAGCTCTGTTCAGGCACAAAACAATGTCTCAGTCATCAGTCTTGCTAGTTTCTACCCCCATCTAAATACAGGATTGTGTGCTTGTTTTCAGACCTTCATTACTGTATGCCGTGAAGGGGAGTCGTTTTTCTAAGAAGTCCTGCTTGATTACCCCTTGAGCGGCTGGTTATGTTGTGTTAGTTTTTCGGCAACAGCCACCTTCCAGGTTTCAGAAACCACCTGTTTGTGGGGTGCCCTATCTTGTGTTTTCTGGTATCGTACTATAACGATCCTGCTGTGGCTGGTAATAGTTGAACCAAGTCTTCATGTATCAGCTGCTTTTGAATGCCATTAAAAAGAGGAAGAAACGCAAACAGTAGGATGCCATGAACTGTTTGCTTTGTTATTTAAGAAACATAACTGAAATATCTGCCAAGGCTGCATTTTCAAGGGGTTGGAAGTGCTGCCATGTGGAATATGAGTCCACTTCTGCCAGCCAATTGCATGCCTTTGAATCTGGATTTAGGTCAGTATTTTAGCCCTGTGGATAAGACGTTTGTAACACAGCCCAAGAAATGCACTAGTGCAACAGAAAGAAACCTGTCCAGATTTCTAAAGGAAGTTAATTACACATTACAACGCAATTATTCTTACTTCATTTTTGCATTACTTTTACATCCTACCTCTTTTCTTTGGCAATGAACCCAGACAGCTCACCGGGTTCTCCTCTTCCCCACTTTACCTGCAGAAGAGCCCTGTAAGGTAGGTTAGGCTGTACCCGTAAGGTTCAATGGTCAGGCAATGACCAGAACCTGGATCTCTCAAGTTCCAGTTCAGCACCCCATTCACTACACAAAACTGGCTCTTGCCAGCACCCCATAAGTACCTACCTGGAGGTCAAACCCGCTGAGTTCCAAAAAATAAGAGTGGTATTAATAAAAGTGATTTATTACATTTGAGATTTGGCAGTTCAAATAAGTGAATGTGGTTTGTGTGCGCTAAACAAGAAAGATGGAGAATTGACAGATTTAAAGTGTTTTACAAGCGTTTGAAAAGTCAAACTGATTGTTATAACATCCGTTCATTCACCTTGCTATATTTTGTGCTGGCATATTTATGGTTTGATGGTTCAGAATAAGGTGTTATTCATTTTTTAATTATTTGTAGAATAGAGAAAAGCTTTAATGGCAGGGATACAGGAAATCCACTCTCCCATTCTGAAAAATATGAGGAGACTCAAATGAAGAAAGATGCAAGTTATGTACTTCATGTGTATTAATCATGCTGAATCCATAGCCTGGCTGTCCTGGGGCAGAGGCGGTGGTCAGGCAGGAGGAAAGGTGGCAGCACGAGAACTGTAAGGGAAGCATGAAAACATCTCAACAAAAACCTCTCTGAAAACCAGGTCTTCATTCCTGTGTCTTCTCTTCAGCATTCCCAACATATCCAGGTACACTGTTTTTCTTGGAAAGTCAGCAGTCAATGCTACCACTCTGAGTGAACAAAAATTTAACGTGGACAGGATGATCATTCACGAGGCGTATTCACATCAAACCACAGACTTCAACAATGACATCGGTAAGGTGGCATCTCACGTTTTCTTTCTGCATCACTGGCATGTATTACAAGAGCTCTATGCAAAATAAGGGCACATTTCAGAGAGAAAGGGGTCAGAACACCCCAGTTCACATGTTCCAGTGCAACGACCTCATTTCCATGTTAGCAGGCTGCACGGTGAATTAAGAAAATCGTTCAAAAACAACACAGGCAAGAATGTGTTCCCTTTTTTCCCCTACAAATGAGTTCAGTCTGTTCACTTTCAGTTTTGGACAGAATATTCCAGCCAGTCTCTGGAAAGATCTTGGGGTGGGGTGGGGAGATGCAGAGTCCACCAAATCAGGCTGGGGGTTAATAGTGCCAGGCCTGGCAAGTCCCTGGCTGATCTGGGGGAACATCAGTAATGCCATCTAGAAAGCCGCCACTCCCTTGTGTGTCTACACAGGGCAAGGCAGGGGGGAAACACCCGGCGGCAAGTCCAAAGGGCACCTCAGACGCCGGGTCCCCAGCTGGAGTGTCTGCCAGGAGGCGGCATGAGCAGGGCCAAGCCCAGAGGCAAGCGGGGCGCGTCAGCAGCCGTGCTCCCTCACAGAGCAGATGCTTGGCAGCAGGCAGGCAAGCAGGACTGGCCAGGCCATGAAAGCTTGGAGGGAAGCAGGACTTCGTCACTCCGCCTGGCCTCTCGGCCCCACCGCTCTGCATGGAGGTGAGGGCGCTTTCTTCAGTGAGAGCACCGTGAGGAGGGGAGTCTTGTCAGTGCTAAGCGGCAAAATGTGCCGAAGGGCCTTTCCTTCCATGGCAGCGGGGGGGGGGGGGGGGGGGGGGGGCTAGAGAAGAAGGTGCCGCACTGGGTCGGGCTCCCCCGGAGACCTCATCGGGCCCATGGGCTGGAGAACCCCCATCCCTTTTCCTCCCTGGAAATGCCTTTGACCATTCCAAGGTGGTTCTGCTGGAGAAAGGAAGCTGCACATTAGAAGTCCTGCCGGACAAACCTTGTGGGATTCTCCGACAAGGTTTTGAGGTGGCTGGATGGAGGGGGTGCAGTGGATGTGGTATACCTGGATTTCAGCAAGGCCTTTGACAAAGTGCCCCATGATATCCTGGTGGAGAAACTGAGGAGTTTTGAGATAGACCAAGCACTGTCCGGTGGATTAGGGCATGGTTGACTGACCAAAAGCAGAGGGTAGCCATTGGTGGGGAATCACTGGGATGGCGGCCAGTGACAAGCAGGGTCCCCCAGGGCTCTGTCCTGGGGCCGATCCTGTTTAATTTTTTCATCAATGACATGGAAGGAGGGGTGAAGAGTCTGCTGATCAAATTCGCAGACGATACTAAAACTGGAGCAGTGGCCACAACTGAGGAGCAGGTACTCCAGATCCAAAAGGAACTGGACAGACTATGGAAGTGGGCAGGAGACAACAGGATGGCGTTCAATGTGGATAAGTGCAAGGTCTTGCACTTGGGGCATAGGAGTAGGTGTCATAAGTACAGGCTGGGGGACAAGTGGCTGGAGAGCAGCGCTTGGGAAAGGGACCTCGGGGTGCTGGTTGACTGCAGACTGAACATGAGTCGGCCGTGTGATGTGGTGGTCAAGAGGGCGAATGCCACCCTTGGTTGCATAGCCAGAAGTGTGGCTTCTAGATCGAGAGAGGTATTACTGCCGCTCTATACGACTCTGGTGCGCCTGCAACTGGAGTATTGTGCTCAGTTCTGGGCCCCTCATTACAGGAAGGATCTAGCCAGGTTAGAGTCAGTGCAGCGTAGGGCCACAAGGTTGGTGGCCGGTTTGCAGGGGATGGGGATGAGGCAAGACTGAGGGAACTGGGTCTCTTCAGCCTGGAGGAGACTCAGAGGGGAACTGTTGGCGACATACAGGTATGTGAGGGGATGTCACACGGAGGTGGGTAGAGGCCTGTTCTCCCCTGCAGAGGAAGGCAGGACGTGCTGCAATGGAGCAAAGCTCAGGGAACCAAGGTTCAATGTGAATGCCAGGAAGTACTTCCGGACGGTTAAGACTCTGAGGGTATGGAAAGGGCTTCCACAAGAGGTCGTTGAGGCCCCATCACTGAGGGTGTTCAAAGATAGGCTGGACGTCCACATGGTGGGCGTGTCGTGAGCGGAGCCGGCTGGAGCTGGGGCTCAGACTAGATGACCTTCTGACTCGTTCTGTTTCTATGTTTCTAAGTTTGTTTCTTACAACTAATACTGATCCTGATCTTTTTTAGCATTAAAAGGGGCACAACGAATGAAGGTGAGCAAACATGCTCAAATGTGTCATTATCTGGAAAAGCAGTTGGAATGGATAGTTCTGGAAATCCATTATTGTTTTGATCAGAGTTAATGTAGGAACGCTTACATAACATGCCCTCTTTGTTCCACTTTTAGCCTTAATAAGGATCAGATCTTCTTCTGGCCAGTGTGCCCAAGAGACTGACACCGTCAAAACCATCTGTTTGCCATCTCAAGGGTTATCGCTGAGAGATAATTTCCAGTGTGAAGTTTCTGGCTATGGAAGAGAAAGCAGGAGTAAGTAGATATATAGTCCATTTCTGTCTTTTCAAACAAATGCGAGTTTTATGGCATGTGTCAAAGCAATTCTCTTGAGGCCTACCTAAAAGCAACAGCAACAGTGAGGAAATCTGGGTAGACACTGAAGTTCTTCCTTTGTGCTCAGCTGTGTCACGTGTCACTGAGAAGCTTTTCACACAAAGTCCATGTCTCTTGTTTGCAGGTAGCATTTACTACTCCAGGATTCTGAAAACAACGAACGTGCACTTGATATCACAGAGCATGTGTCAGAAATATTACGCGGGTCAGACTGTGAATGACAACATGTTCTGTGCTGGAGATCCCCAGTGGAAGACGGATTCATGCAAGGTATGTTTGCATATGTGTCATTTTAAAGAGCAGGACAGCAGAATGGTCTCTGCTAATGCAGCCATGTGAGCAGAATACTCCCTAACATATCACTTAAACAATTAGAATCAACCTTTCCACCATCGCAGGCATCTTGCAGCAAGACATAGCGCTTTGCACGGTGGGCATGTCGTGAGCGGAGCCGGCTGGTGCTGGAGGTCAGACTAGATGGCCCGGGAGACCCTTCTGACTCACTCGGTTTCTATGTTTCCATGTTTATGAGTGATTCCACTGGGGTGGGTTCCTGGGTGCACTTTCTGATGCTGCTGTGCTGCCTTCCTTGCCCCATGCCTCAAGTTGCAGAAGGAGGCCACTACTCCAGACACATAAGCACAGGACCAGAATCCCCTAGATTACTCTGGGTGCAGCCCCACACTTGTGCAGACGGGAGAAAGGCTTGGAATTGGCACAGTTCCCCAGTGAGCAGGGGAACTGGGGCCAAACGCGCAAAGACTTTCGCTCTTGTTCATTTTCTCCCCCTCTCATGAATCTGCTCAACTGCTCAACTGCTGTCTAGCCTGTGATTTAGGTTAACCCATCCTGATTGCTACTGGAGAATACTAACCCCCCCCCCCTATGTTTTGACCCATCAGGGAGATTCTGGTGGTCCCATCATTTGTGAGGCCAATGACAGGATGGTGCTGTATGGGATTGTCAGCTGGGGTGCTGGCTGTGCCGAGAAGGAGAAGCCCGGAGTCTACACGAGAGTCACAAAGTACCTCCCATGGATCGAATCGCACATAAATGGAGTCCATTTCAGAAGTTACTACCCTCCTAAATGAACAGAGGGACTTTCTTTGCAACATGAATGGCAAACTCAGGGAAATTGAGCCAAATAATGTCACCATGTGAATCCTGTTTCTGAGCTGGTTTTTCCTCAGCAGTTATTTTTTTAGCTTCCTGTCAGGGTTAATTTTGTGACGTTAATGCCATTTTGTCTGGGGTAGAAATCTCCAGCCTTCACTGTGAACAAAAATTGTCCCCTGGGAACATTTAATTAAGAAATGTTTTGCCAGTCCATATGATCTATGTGTCACAGTATCTCTAGAAATTAGCCTTAAATCATGCTACTAGGTTTTCTGGTGAGCTTTAAAATTAGCTATGAACTTGCTAATGGCTGGAGCCACCCAGGAAAACACAGTTGTCCCATTGTGTGGAATGGGACTTAAAGATGTTGCTGTATTACCAGCTTGATTTCAATGATACCCAAGTGCCCTTCACCTTCTCTGGATTGCATTATCAGTTTTTAATGTTTAAAAACTTGCTTCACTGATGTTCAATGATGTTATCACCCCCAAGGCACAGCTTGGACTGGTTCTACGATCAAGCTAGTCATAGTAATCCAGTGTAACTCAGTGAGTTCATAGGCAAGTAGAGAACCGAGACTAGTCTTTCCTATGAAAACACCAGCTCTCATTCGTGGGCAGCACAGCAGAAAGTTTCTTAGTCATAATTGTGGGGCAAGGGGACCAGTGGAAACCTCATTGAAAGTAATTGGGGCCAAGCATGAAAAATAGTATTATACTCTTAAGTTAAACATTATTACCTTTTTAATTCTGTTTTGAAATAATTTACTACGAGAAGAAATGTTAGTTGCCAGCTTTTAACAGATAGCAATAGAAAAGTATTGCTGTCTGTAAGAAGCTTTTAGAAAAGTAAAATAAACATTTGGCTTTTAAGGAAAATAGACACTGAAAGGTATCCTCATCTCTAACCTGGTGTAAATATAGCTTCACTGGAACTGTTGAGAAGCATGAGATAAAAGTTCCATGCTTTAATACAGAGTCTCCATGAATGTATTTCAACCACAGCCACCTGCACCTTACCTGCCCACTGCCACTCAAGCCTCTCTTTGGGTCCCCGGTTCCCTTCTTAACGAGTCTTCCTGTCATGTGTCTGACTGTGTGCAGAACAGTAACAGGATTTCAGCTGCCAATGTTTTATAACAAATTGATTAAATGATGCTCCTACAGACCCACTGGTGCTTGGGGGGGGGGCACAGGCAGAGAGCCACGTGTGTTTAGGCTTCGGCTCCCAGAACTCTCCACCAGCATGACCAACAGTCAGGAGTGCCAGGAACGGCTGAGTGAGCCACCCAGGCACCTGCTTTTGCCCACCCTGCTGAATGGTCCAGGGTACAATGGGAACCAGAGAGCTAAGCTGTCTCCCCCTGTCTCCCCAGGAGAAGCTTGGAAACCAGTCCTGTGAAGTGCTGGGGAGGGAGCTGGGGATCTCTGACAGGATGCTTAGAAGTATCACCAACTACAGTACCCAGAATTCTCTAGGGCAACAGTTGAAGGGTTATGAAAGCAATGTAATTTGGTAAAACAGATGTGATCATAGTCTTAAGGTCAGGTTCTTTCATTCTCAGGGATGTCCTGCCTTTGTCTAAACATCAGAAAGCCTCCCGCTAACCTTTACTGAGTTTGCAGAGTTGTATATATGCACACTCTGAACTTGGGTGGACTTTGGCAAACATGAGGCATGGGTGACCCCTCATAAAAACACCTGCAGCTGAAATTTTCCTTTTCAAAGATGGTTTTATTGATTGAACTTGTAATATATGTCTGGGGGCTGGACCCCCTTTTGTTATTTAATAATTTTACTTTAACTTATTCTTTATAAACTGTAAGTATAAAAAGTCAATAAAATATTACAGTTATATATATATATAGACTTCCCTTGGTTTTATTGCCTTTGATACCTCAGGTTACTGTTAATCTCATAATTTGAGACTTATCTGCTTGATATAAATTGCTGATTCCCCGTCCGCTACACCTTGCTGCTCCTGGACCCTCCCTTGTTCTCCTGCTCTCAGGAACCAGGCTTTGAGGTTTTAGGGATTGGGGATGATGTGTTAGGGAGTAGGGGTGGGTTGGCGTTAGGGTTAGGGCTGGGGTTAGGGTTTGGTGAATTTTACAGTCAAAGTAGGGAAAGACTTGGCTGCGAGGCGGGGAGTCAGTCTTTTCACCGTAGTGCTTTGCTGCCCTCTGGTGGACAACATGTGAAATGCACAAAGTGGGCAGGGCCCTCACTGAATCGTTACTGCAAACGGTCTAATTGGCCCCGCTCCATCCTGCAGCCACGAGGCCGAGACCCAGGAACAATTACTGGCAGTAACTGAGGATCTGGCCCGCTCATCTGTTCCTCGACTTTCTCAGCTCACTTTTTTCTAACTGACATTTATCTGCAATTCTAACAGAAGCAAATTATTATCTTTTTATGACAGACTGACAGGTTAGTCCTTTGACAGTATTGTACTGAAGGAAAAACAGAGCAAAAACTTTGCGCCTGTATCCAGGGACGAGCCCCGCGGCACGTCTCCTTAAGGCCAGCCGTGGGGGCCCGCGACGGAGGCTGGTGCGGCTCAGCTGCGGCTGCTCAACGCGCGGCATGCGAGGGCGCTGCAGGCGGGCGCGCACCCTTCCTGGGGTGCCGAAGGCGGCGGCGGCGGCTGCTCCTCGCCTGGCCCTGCTCCGGGGCTCCCTGGCCACGCCGGG